TTTCTTAGGCACCTCATAGATTTGGTTAGAATTCCTTATATCCGAGTAAGTATCATAGACTGTCGTTCAGAGGGCACTAGCGGAAAGAACAAATATGATCGGTCAATCGAAATCTCCATGGAGTTGATAAGCCACGACATGAGCATGAAATTCTCCACTTCCCAAGCTCCACACACTAGTCAGACTTTGGAGGTTCACGAATAATACCAACGAGATGAGTGAATTTCCTACGACTTTTGGTGAGCAAAGGCACGGATTGTGACCATTGGAAAAAATTACTGTTGTTTAGTTTATGGGTTGTGATCAAGAAATTCATGTTGTTTCCACTTCTCAAGCTCCATATGCTAGGTCAGACTTTGGAGGTTCAAGAATAATATCAATGAGAAGAGCTAATTTCTCATGCCCTTTGATGAACAAAGACAGAGAATGGGACCACTGGAGAAAATTATTGTTGTTTAGTTTATGGGTTGTGATCAAGAAGTTCAAGTTGTTTCTCTGTCCTCCAATCTGCAGAGGAACGGAGGTTGGAATTGATCCTCTGGTGAAATCAAGAACATCTTCCAATGACAGCTTCATGCTGGAGGAGTACGTCGTGATTTTGGTTGACCCAAAACGAGATGTTAAGTTGTTCAAACATCGGTTATGGCATCCAGAAGGGGTTCCCACTGGAGTAGATCTCCTGAACAACTGGAAGAAGGTTCCAGAGATCAGCTCAGAAGCTCCAGGAGGGGATCAAGAAACCTGAAGGGAGACGAGACAGTTAGGCAGAGGTTTCGCGGCTGGGAGGTGGCCCTGACGGTCAGAACGAAGGTTCTAGAAGGGCATATGGTCGACTGGGAGGTAGCTGACGACAAAATTTGGGTGGCTCAAGAGATCTAGACAGGTTAGCCGACGACAATGATAGGCCCGGCGGCAACTAAGTTAGGACCATGACTCTGATACCATGTTACAATAGAACAAAGGAAAATCGTATTGATGCAAAGAGGGAGATATATACCCATTAAAAAATCTAATAGTAAGGAAAGAAATAAAAACCGGATACAATAGAAAAAAGAAATAATATAGAATCCAAGCAAATAACTCAGAATAAACAGGAATTAATAATGGCTATAATTAGCCATTAATAAATATTTTAATAGTTATTTTTTTCCTTTTTATTTCATTTTTTAACTCATTCGTGTAAAATAATAGACCACCATAGAATATATGGACATTGATTTATCAGAGATTCAGCATGATATTTGCTCAAGATTATACGAGAGTCATTTATTCAATGCATTAAACTTAGAAATGACTTTAACTAAGTAATATCATCAAACGTTTAGATTGACTGTTGCAACATGACATTAGAGAATGGCTGAGTCTAACTGGCAGCACTTTCAGTATACATGGAGCCCAACTCGTTGCATGGAAATTCACCATTGGTTAACAAAAACATATACTAAGGCGACATCAACATCCTCCCACATCAATTGTGCGTTGATAGTAATTTCTGATTGGAACATGATTGTGGAAGTGCATACAAATGAGTGAGGCAATTGGAATGCTAACGCAGCCATTCTTTTAAAAGGAGAAGAGTAGTGAGGGATCGCAAACAGGTCATCCCCAGCGTATAATAGTAGATTATTGCTTGTTAAGTTAGAATTTAATAATTATTGAAAAATTATTTTTGTCCATTTTTTCCCAAAAAAAATTATGAGCAGATGACAATTGAATGATTTCGTATAAAGATATGGATGTATCAACAACTAGAAGTATTGTTCAGGACAAGTAGAAAGATGCATTAAATTCTACAAATGAAGAGATGAAATTATTTATTTATTCTCTACTAATAAAATGCTAATTAAGTTAATAGCAAAAATAGCCAATGATGCTATGTAACTAAAATACTAATTAAATGATACAAACATAATATAATTAATTGGTCAATTCCAAATAAACAACAAATTAATTTGAATAAAATCTGATGCCAACAACATAATATATTCATATATTAAATAATTCTTTTTCTTTGAATTTTCTTATGGTTGTGAACTATCATGCCATTGGAATTTGAAAATCAAAGGAAAATTAAGCTAATATGTGTATCTAGATCTATATCTATCATACATGTGATGTGTGTGTGCGCATGTGTGTGCATGTGTGTATATATATATATATATATATATAAGAGAGAGAGAGAGAGAGAGTAAGGATAAGAGAGTAAAACAGGGAAGATATCTTTTTATGCATGCACTAAACTCTTAAAAAGTGGAAATGACCATCACTCCATGGCGCAAACTTCTTTAGCAAAACAAATCACATTTTGTTGTTTTTGTATGTGTGTGTGTTTATGCGCGTTTAATCTTGTCTTTATTTGTATCTCACCATAATTTGAATTATAATTGTACACAGTTTTATCAAATATGGCATCAGAGCTGAAGGTTCAACTGCAATGAAATGATTCACCAACGTCTGTCATAATTGAGCAAGGTTCAAAAATAGACAACCTGCAATGGCTTCATAAGGTTAATGAGCTTGTGGTGCATGTACAAGATGATTTTACAAATCTCAATTTAAGGGGTGCTTGCAAATATGAAAGGCTCTCGTGAATGGAGGATATTGTAATACAAGAGTAGTGCATTAAATTTAACATGAAGTAGTTGAAACATATGCTAAACAGTAAATAACAGGTGGTTGACTTTCAACTATCAGCTCAAGCTTTGAGTTAAAAATGGGTTTGGTCATCATCTCTCCAACTTTTAGGCACACTAAACTATTTTCACAAAGTTTACTAAAAAATAAACTTATTGAACTAATGCAACAACTAGATTAGGCAGAAGGATTTGGACTTCTTATTTCAATGGGAGGTGGATTTTGAAAATATTCAATAAATCGAGAGGTGCCTGTTTAATTGAATTGGGAGGCAAGATGATGTTCAGGCTTTGTTCCCTCCACTTCGTCTTGTTAACGCTGCTATGGTGGTGGTTTAAATAGGCGTCCAGACATTTGGAGTCTTTACCGAGCACTTTAATGTCAATGGGTCGTCTTTCAAGCGCTGCTTGCAAAGATTTTCTTTGCTCTTCCTGACGGGAAAAAATTCACATGGATAAACTACTAATATTGTTGTTCGTGGGGTTGCTTTTGAGAATTTTCTCATGTTCACAGGCAAATAGTTACAGCTAATTGGGATTCAATTCAGACAATAGGTTCGCATAGTTGGCTATTGTGGGATTTAAATTAAAGTCGAGACTACCCAATCTTTAGAAATTAAATCAAATTTAAATTGCGAATGATTATTTGCCAACCTTATCTACTAGCCTATGTGAAAAGGAATCAATAATTATTAATCCACAGCATGTAATACAAAACATTTAGCTTGAATAAAATTTTAAAAAAATATATTATAAATAATCAATAAATAATCTTCAAGTAACTTAAATGTGTCACAATTATAACTTGAAATATTATTGACCTAACATTCCACCCTTAAAATAAAGTTTATAATTTCTTTTAAGCAAATTATCATGAGAAACAAAAAAATATACACATAATATTCTATACCAACTTAACAAAGCTTATGCAAATGTCTTCAGTATTATGATCTCATCATGGAACCTATGACAAACATGAGCACACAAGTGCAAAGAAAAACTAGCACAATAAATCACAGGAAACCAAGTATGCCTTTGGATAAAAAATGGGCTAGACTCTAAGATTGATTAAAAAAAAAAATCACCCAATTCATGTCAACAACATGGTCGTTACACCACCAAAAGAGAGTTTTTTTTTTTTTTTCGGAAAGCTAAACCTACACATAAAGTGAACGCACAGAGTTAAATAGGCTGTTTTGTTGTTAAAGGAGCTATTAAAAAGAAGAGATGGAATATATGACAACCTTGAACAAACAAGAGCAAAGGATAACTAGCAAAAAAATTTGTAGTAACCAACCATATCCTTGGATAAGCCAACGACCAAGCTCTCAAGGCTCTGATTTAAAAGGTCTATATGAATTGTTAAAAGCAGTTCCGAGATTGAAGAAAACACCTGGCCCAACTCCCACATTCCCGCCCTCCCTTAACCATAAAAACAGGATGCTGTATATTCACTATCTACCTATTTTATAGTACAGCTACAGGTCCTATTCATCATCATTAGCCTAATACTAATTATTTGTTGTCAGCTTTATAAATCCTCACTTATCTTTCAATCCTATGAAGTATTGCATGAGCTACTAAACTTTAAGAGATTGTTTTGCACAACTATTAGCAATAATATTTGATAAATCTTTTTTCCTAATATATTCCTTCGCATTAATTCTATCCACATCTTGTTAGTACATCTTCTACCTTCTTTGTGTATGCCCAAATCACCAAAATCAACTATTTTACTAGGTTATCTTCGATGGATACCACCATGCTACTCCAACAATTTTTCAATAATATAATTATTTATCATTCTATCCCACCTAGAATTAGGACATATCCAAATTAACATTCTTATTTGACAGCATTCACAGGACAACCTTTCATAAAAAAGGTCATAAATGATCAATATTGTCAATAGACCAAATCAAACTACAAATATTGACAAAAAATGCACAAGAATCCAGCCGAGAGCAAGGCAAAAAAAGGCCCGTAATAATTTCTTTCTTCATTTTCCCACTCATTCAAAAAGCTTGAACAAACCATTAATCTATAGTTAGATACCAAGATCATAAGATCCTCAGCCCAATTCAGAGAACTTTAGTACACTCTAATTATTAGTTTTCAACCATGAAAATAAAATTTATCCAACAAATTTTCACATCCGACAAAGAATCCAACTAGCAGGCAAACATCATCAACTGAGGTTAGGAACAAAAATAAGTTGACTCAATGCAGCTATAGACATTAAATGAAAAAAAATTGCTTGACTAAGTTTTGTAAGTCAGCATAAAAAAATGAGGATTAGTAGGGATCGGAAAGAAAATCAGAAGGATAAGAGGAATAGGCAAAGAAGGCAATAAAGCAGAAGCAAACCAGCACTAGCAAAAGTAATGAATCCAATTCCGCGGTGTCCTTTTGAACTCCGTTCCTGCAGAAAAGTAAAAACCAAAGGCTTAGTTGCCTTTTAAGATATCAAAAGATGTTAAGCTAATCAACACCATACATAGAATAATGTTCTCAAGAGTATTGAGAAAAAGCCATCAGGTGCCATAGAAAATATGCATCCAAAGAGGAGAATTCATTAAATATAGTTCTTCAAAATGGGATAGGATTTTGGTCTGGATTGGGCTCAGAAAGAAGTTAACTTGCCAATTAATGAGCCAATCCTAAATAGGAGCAAACATAAATTAAATATAGCCCAGATTAAATCTGGCAAGCTCAAAGTTGAATTGGAATATACATGTGCATATAAGAATGCATATGCCAATATGGTAATATGATTGTATTTATGCTGGAAGAAGAATTTCTTTTAATGAAATTCAAGATCAATCAAATCTTCAGATCAAATCAAAAGCAACAAGAAATGTCTAGCCCCATCAAATCAAATGGAGATAGACTATAACCAGGTAAGGCTCCGCTCAAGACCTAATCAAATTATCTTAAGCTGATCTTCAGCCAATATGGTAATATGAATGTATGTATGCTGGAAGAAGAATTTCTTTAATGAAATTCAAGATCAATCAAATCTTCAGATCAAATCAAAAGCAACAAGAAATGTCTAGCCCCATCAAATCAAATGGAGATAGACTATAACCAGGTAAGGCTCCGGTCAAGACCTAATCAAATTATCTTAAGCTGATCTTCAGCTAATGTTGGATAAGTATGAGATCAGATCATTGATGGACAAACTACCAAAAGTGATTTTAGTATCTACAACATGAAAATTGATTAGGACAAATGGATATCAAATCCCATAACAAATTCTAAGACACATTATCTTAGTTGAAAACATCCTTAAAGGTGCTACAAGTATGGATAATCATAATATGAAAAACATAGTAAACAACTGCAAATTCTTTTCAATACAAACAATAAATAATTATTGAATTAACAATCAAATCAAATTTCTCCATATTATCAACGTCAAATACAATAACTATGAACATCCTCATAACCTGCCCCAAAAAAATTCGGCTTGAATTATCAAGTAATACCTTTTCAGCAAATATAATGATAGGTTCAATAACAATAATATTCAACTATTCTAAAATAAGAGCACTCATGAAATTGAGTGACCAACCAAAAGCTAAAAATCAGAGGCAATGTAATGCAAACACGTATAAAGATGAGACGTTGAGAAACATTCTCAAGAAAAAGCTTGTGAGCATGAAGCCATAAACACTAGCAAAAAGAACTAGTAGGGGCATGAGCATGAAGAGAAGAACCAAAAAGGAGCAAATTAAACCTAATGGAGGAAAACAAAAAACTAGCGCACTTACTCTCGACATAGTGGTTGAGGGTTTGTTTCCCGCCACGAGATCGGAGTTCGAATTAGTGCATACTACCCTTTGGGTGAGAGAAATAGAAAGAAGATAACAGCCATGCCTACTTATCATGGAAAATTCCAACTGAATCATGAAAACAAAACAAATATTTGGCTTGAAGCGTGAAAAGAGCAAATAGTGCTAGGATAATAAATGTGAAGAGATGCATGAATTGCTGCATGTTTGTAGCTCACAACAAATAATACATTAGGCCAGAGCATCTCTTCGTTGCTCTCTTAAACCGAACCTTTAACAACAAGGATTAAGATCACCATCAAATTTCTTGATTGTCCCCCCCTCATGGATTTGAGGGAAAGCATTCTATGAGATTTAGTACTATTAAAATAACTACAAATTAAAGACATTGTTTTGGATAAAATTTAAAAAGGCCGAATTAGGATCGATGCAATTTTGCCTTAGTGAGAAGAGACATCAGCTTCAAGGCTGATAAAAGCATGAGCCTCAAAATACAACAAAATAAAAATAAAAAAACTCATAAAAATAAAAATACTTCATAAATATGACATAAACAAGTAATACATTGATTTAGATAATATCATAAAGACATAATATGTTGATTTAGTTATTATCACAAAGAAAAACTATAAATTAATATATTAAAAATTGAGATATAAAATAGAATTTGGAAATGTGATTTTAGAATATATATGCATGTATGTATGTATGTATGTATATATGTATGTATCTGCTAGGGTTTTGTCGTTATGGCGAATGCTGGTTCTGCTCTACTGCTCGCGCTCGATCCTCTTTCATTGACGTCAGTATCGCGCGTTAACATCCTCGCGGCTCGTCTTCTGCAGTAGTGTGTTCGCGCGGCCGGTTAAGAATCGTCTTCGGCGGTGTTCTGCGCGTCTCTGCGGGATCGTGTTCCGCGAGTCTTCCGCAGCGTCACCTAGTCGACGATGTTTTGCGGCTCACGTCGTCTTCTCCCGCACTCGACGACGCCGCTGTCACCTTGCCCGACAGAAGGTTCCCCCCGAAGTTTACTCGCTTTTTTCTAGCGACTCGTCTAGTCGTTCTGAAGATGGCCTCGACAATGTGTTCTTATGTCAATGCACTTGCCGACAACTTTCTTATTCATACTCGTGCTCCTCTTTCAGGTTCAGAGTCTGGTTTTCATATTGGCAAGTCCCGCAATTTTCCTTAATCTTTCCACGACGCTATTGAAGGTGGTGGTGATCACACTTTCATTAAAAATCTTGGCAAAATTGAGTCGCTCTCTAACTAGTTGATTGTCAGTATTTTGGTACTTTTTATTTTTTTCTTAGGTTTCTCATGTATTTTTTTGTATTTTCTCTTTTTGGAACCATTTGATGTGTTGGTTATCGTGTGAGCAGGGTGTCATGTTTGGGTCCTCTCAAACAATCTATTTATATCCTACTTCCTATTTAATATATTAGTCATTGGGCTTTCTCAACACACACACACACACATAGATATATACATATATATATATATATATATACTTTTTTTTTTTTTTGCATGACTTGATTGAGGCAATGCCTCAAACTCCTTGAGGCTTTTCAGGCATAAATCCTCAAAGCAAAAGATTCAAATGAAAAAGGAGTAGCCTCATTGGTGGCAGTGAGAATTAAGCCTTGACGCCTTTTTGTGCGTTTAAGTTCAAGGTGAGCCTTAGGCGTAACACTTCAACACCTTTATAAACTATGATTTTAGGGATAAACATGCTTAATTAAGTTATTGGATAAGAATAAACTCGCACTTTTGATGCAAAATTTTTAACCACTAAGTTAAATTTTGAACCATGTATTAATTTTGAATTACCACCCTCTTGACTCCAATAAAATAGAAGACCAATTCACGATAAGTGAGATCGTAGTCGGGTGCATTTGCTTTCTACTATAGTCCAAGAATTTTCAAAAAGTTGTGTGGGCTTGTTGAGTAGATTTTGAGGGAAAATGGATGGAGATAAAGAAGGGGAGAAAGACACACGGAGAGAGCAAAATTAAAAAAAATGAGAAATAGAAATAATTGCTAGAATCTTAAAATTTATGACAATAGTGAATTTTCATGACATGATGCAACCAGAGTAGTGAAAAAATATGCAAGGTGGTGCCCTTATTAAGCAAGGCACTGGCATAAGCATGTGATGCCATTTTTTTAGGAAATTCAAGTAGAAAACTCTTGGTATGGCATAGATGGTATTGTATTTCTAAAATAAATTAATATCTACTTCTATTTGCTTCACATGAACCATGATAAATAATAGAAGTACATCAAGAACAGCAAATTGCATTTGCCGAAGACAAAAAAGCGTACATCAACGACAAATAAATAAAGTAAAAGCCTGAAAAACTAAATCACAATATAATTGAAAATTACAAAATGGCTCATCTAGATATTCTACCTTAAAGTTCGATAAAAAATAAGATGATGATAGATTTTTTAATTCACATCTTGCTTGGTAAAGAAAAACTAAAATGTTTAAGCCTATCAGAGAGTCAACTTTCTTACTACTCTCATCTAATTCATATATCTGCAAAGCAACATGATCGTCATTGTGATCAAAGCTTTGAAAGATGGAAAGAGTTATTAATAGAAAGTGAGCTGGGATCCAAAAAAAAAAGGTGCGAGGAAAGAGCACCCTCAACTATATGGCAAATAAGAATTGCCACGACTTTCTAAACCCAAAGAAAAAGGTGGTTTCACATTTCGATTAAAAAATATTCTAACAGAGATGCTTCCAAATTAGTCTCGAGTTCACTTTATTCTATTTGTAGTACCACTTGCAGTTGCAAATTTGATTTATTTAACACAAGACGAACCTTAAAATATTTTGAGAAAATACATAAAAAAAAATCTACATGATAAGCAATAAGATGAAAAGCCTACAAATTTCAATTTCTACTAGTGTCCAAAAATAAAAGAGTCCATCCACACTTCTTTTAATAAATGAAAAATAAAGTTTAGCTCAACCAATTAATGGGTTATCAAAAGTTTAAAGAGACCAGCAAAACATTATCAACTTGCAAGGGTTTGCCAAATATTAATGTGAATGAATGTAGAAAGAATAAGTTGAGATAATCTAATTAAATCTAGAAGAAAATATCCAGATTGGAGTAATTGATGGTTTATCTGAGGAGTCAAATAGGTAGAACTGTTACGATCCGATTTCGAGCCAAGATGGAGCGGCACAAAATCGGCTCGAATAGATTTAGTGCGGCTAGAAATCATTTAGTGGCTCTTTTTATTTAATTTTGAGCCAAACAGGCTTGAAATTGCATCGAGCTCGATCCGACGAGAAATCAAAACGAACTGGCTCAAATTGAGTTATTCAGATCCGTTTCAACTCGAAATCCGCTCTATTCGGCTCAGAAATTGAAATTAACTGGTTGAAATTGAGTTATTTGGATTCGTTCCAGCTCGAAATTCGCCCGTGACTAGTTATAATCAATTTTACTTAACAAACACGGACATATAGACACAGAGACAGAGAAACGCACACGCTCGCGCGCATGCACGCATAATTTTTATAAATAAAAAACACCAGTCAATCTCGAATCAATTTGAGCTGATCCACGTATGGCTTGAGAAAAATTTGATCCAAAGTTTTGGCTCATAA